CTTTGACATTTGACCTCTGACAGGCAGATGGGGTTATCCTAAACATTCCTTTGACAGGGTGATAAGGTTATCCTAGACATTTCTTTGACATTTGTCCTCTGACAGGCCGATGGGATTATCCTAAACATTCCTTTGGCATTTGAACTCTGACAGGCTGATGGGTTATCCTAAACATTCCCTTGACATTTGACCTCTGACAGGCTGATGGGGTTATCCTAGACATTCGTTTGACAGGCTGATGAGGTTATCCTAGACTTTTCTTTGACATTTGTCCTCTGACAGGCTGATGGGATTATCCTAAACATTCCATTGACATTTGACCTCTGACAGGCTGATGGGGCTATCCTAGACATTCCTTTGACATTTGACCTCTGACAGGCTGATGGGGTTATCCGAAACATTCCTTTGACATTTGTCCTCTGACAGGCTGATGGGGTTATCCTAGACATTTCTTTGACATTTGTCCTCTGACAGGCTAATGGGGTTATCCTAGACATTCCTTTGACATTTGACCTCTGACAGGCTGATTGGGTTATCCTAGACATTCATTTGACCTCTGACAGGCTGATGGGGTTATCCTAAATATTCCTTTGACATTTGTCCTCTGACAGCTAGGCTGATGGGGGTTATCCGAGACATTCCTTTGACATTTGACCTCTGACAGGCAGATGGGGTTATCCTAAACATTCCTTTGACAGGGTGATAAGGTTATCCTAGACATTTCTTTGACATTTGTCCTCTGACAGGCCGATGGGATTATCCTAAACATTCCTTTGGCATTTGAACTCTGACAGGCTGATGGGTTATCCTAAACATTCCTTTGACATTTGACCTCTGACAGGCTGATGGGGTTATCCTAGACATTCGTTTGACAGGCTGATGAGGTTATCCTAGACTTTTCTTTGACATTTGTCCTCTGACAGGCTGATGGGGTTATCCTAAACATTCCATTGACATTTGAACTCCGACAGGCTGATGGGTTATCCTAAACATTCCTTTGACATTTGTCCTCTGACAGGCTGATGGGGTTATCCTAGACATTCCTTTGACATTTGTCCTCTGACAGCTAGGCTGATGGGGTTATCCTAGACATTTCTTTGACATTTGTCCTCTGGCAGGTTGATGGGGTTATCCTAAACATTCCTTTGACATTTGAACTCTGACAGGCTGATGGGTTATCCTAAACATTCCTTTGACATTTGTCCTCTGACAGGCTGATGGGATTATCCTAGACATTCCTTTGACATTTGACCTCTGACAGGCTGATGTCGGTATCTTTGACATTGCTTTGATGTCTATGGCATTCTTTTGAAATTTTACAATTGGCTGAAACATCATCAAACATACTTATTTTTATTACATTTTTGCTTGTTCATTCAGCTTCAGTATACAGGCAGTATATTTTTCACAAAGATGTAAGTTGACTTTTGTGAAGATTTCATTGAATATGCCTGGTCGGCAGTGAAAATATTTGTCAAAATTCCACTTTTATATAATTATGAATTTTCACTGTTCAATTACATTTAAACTTGATGCACAGAAAATTGTGTTCTAGCACATCAACAAAAGTTGATTTGTGTTTCAATCCAATCCAAGATGGTAGACTGTTAGCCTTTTTGTTTGACCAAAATTTTTAATTTTGGCAATTTTTTTAAAATTCCTACTGCCTGGTGGGCTTAAATTTAGTGCACAGATAATTCTTTCTAGCACATCAATGAAAGTTAATATGTGTCACGATCCTATTACCCCACGCGCTGGAGGTTGTAATGTTCCGATCTGGATTTAATTCATCAACAAATTTGCAATAAATAAAGTGGGCGTTTAATTGACACTTGTGTCACCCAATCAGCACTACACTATTTTATGAACGGCGCACTCAGTTCCGATAGCAGCCAGACTGGAGTGTTGTTTGTGTAGCATTATCCTACTGGGCGGGCGGAACATACAACGTCCAGCGCCTGGGGTACGATCCTATAAAAGATGGGCAACTGTCAGCAATTTGATTAAACAAAAATCTTGAGTTTTCATCAATAAAAAAAAAATCATTAAAATGCAACTTTTTTTTCTGACATACATTATGTACATGTACTTTGTTCAAATTATTTCAAACTTGATCAATGCACTTAATCAAAAAGGAGCATATGAATGCTTAAATTTCATTTGTCATATATTAAACTGAATGGCATGTTATATCAACCAGATGTGAGCACACATAGGCAACAATAACATCTTTTCATGTGATTTGCATGATACTTAAAATGTACTGGTGATGGATGGAATTATACATGCATATGTGTACATTAGACATATTTCTACCATATTGAGTGCGGTAACTGAGCGTCTCAGTTTTCATGAAAATATGAGTGGAGCGTACGCACTTTTTCAAAAGTAAGCGTGAAGCCAAACAATGGAATGCTCAAGTGCGCTCACTTATAAAAGTAAGCGTGGGGACAAACCATGGAATGCTGGTAATGTAATGAAAGCTACGCTCAGCTTAACAAGTTCGTTTCAGAGGTCTAACTTAAGTTAAAGACATTCAATCTGGTGCTAATATCACATATTCACATGAGGGGGCGTTTGTTAAACGCAGTTTGAGCCCTATCACCTTGTAAGATGGACACGTCTGGTAATGAGAGACTACGCTCACTTTTACACATAATAGTAGGCATGGGACCAACAATGGAATGAGAAGTGCGTGTGTCTGATTTCAAGTAACCATAAGTCGCCAGTGTATACATGAAGTTTTTGAGAGTACCTTTTTTTGATTTACATAAGATAAATGCTGGGATCGGCCACAGTTATATAAAGATGCAACTCAGACATTTGTTTTTTCTTGAGTGTTTTCATTTGTCGCGTCTGTAAACAACGCTCAGTGACAACGAGCTATTGCGCACACTTGTATGAAGTGAAAGTTTACACACATACAAGAATGACGTTTGACTTCATAGATTTACGATACAGCAATGGTAGTGTGAAGTTGCACGTCGCGACATTTATGCCAATACGTTTGAAGTGCATGAATCATTCCGTGATCGTACAGGTACGAATCATTTGGCTTCTATTGGCTGACCCTCATGAAAATATAAATTTACATGTAAAAAAAGTGGTCAAATTTGCGTTGTTGAGTTTCCTTGTTGTAAAAATATACACACAAAAGGGAGCAACACGGGGGTGAAAAAATAAGAAAAACTTATCCTACCAGCCACGGTGTCGGCTGCCTCGCTAGCGAGCAACCCAAGCTAAAACTCGAACAGGAAAAAGCAAGCTTCCAGGCTGGGCCACAAAGTTTCATCTCACTCCGTGCTGTGAAATGTGAAATGGTTCATTACCTTCAACAGGGTCTGGGGGTGGTGGGGGCGTAGTCGTTGGCTTCTAATGTTGGACATCGCGTCACAGTGTCAATCTCCAAACGTAATCCTCAGCTGGAATTAAAAACAACTCTACCCCATGAACTTTCCATAAAAGACAATCACCAGGCACTGGCATTTTGTCTAAAACTGTGATGATCTTTGTCTGAATTTAAAACACAGCTGTCACCCACTGTGGTAACACTACTTTTTGATGCATCCTTCTTACAAGGTCATAGAGATTAAATTGCAGGAATATTTAATTAAACATGGTTGCTTTGTTTTAACAAACGTCCTCTCAAGTGAATATGTGAAATTGTGTCAACTTCATGTTAAACTGAGCATAGCTCTCATTACATTACCAGCATTCCACGCTTACTTTTAAAAGTGAGTGCACTCAAGCATTCCATTGTTTGGTTCCACGCTTACTTTTGAAAGTGAACGTACGCTGAACTTGTATCTTCATGAAAACTGAGACGCTCACTTACCGCGCTCAACTACCACATAGAGACTCACATTGAAACAGGTTACATACCTTTAAATTTTAAAGCAAACTCGTAAGGATTATACACAGTTAAGACTTGTTTGTGAGAACTTTTATCATCAGCATAGAAGACTAATTCAGTTGGGAAGACAAACACTGGCAGTTTACTCTGTTCAATAAGTCGTGGATTGCTCCCAAAATGCATAGGTAGAGATGGTAGAGCGTTCACTTGGATATATAGTGTCAACTTCTATTAACATCAACAAGTTAGTATCTGCAAATGAATGTTAAACAGAATTATTTCACATTTTGGCTTGAGTTTATAGACATGTTGCCTTGACAAAGCAAATATTTTGTGGAAATGATAGGTAATATACATGAGTGCCGAATTTCAACTTCAGGATGCTGTACACGTTTTTTGTATTGATTTTCTAAACTGATATTTTCAACAACAACACAACAACACAAAGCTATATATTGATGGAAAGCTT